TTTGGTACGTGGATGTCCACTTGTTCCAGCACCATTCATTGAAAAGACTATCTCTGCCACACTATTGTATTTCCTTTGCTGCTTTGTCAGAAAAGAGATCTGTTGTCTATATTTATGTAGGTCTATTTGGGGACTCTCTAGTCTGTTCCATTGATCTGTTTGTTATTTCACCAATGCCACACACTGTCTTGATTATTGTAGCTTTATAGTACATCTTGAAGTCAGCTAGTATCAATCTTCTGACTTTGTTCTTCTCTTTGAAAATTCTAATGGCTATTCTGGGTCTCTTGCCTCTCCATTAGCATCAGTTTGTTGATATCCACAAAATAACTTGCTAATAAGATTTTGGCTGGAATTATGTTAAATCTAGAGATAAGGTTTGAAGAACTGACATCTTAACAGTATATTGAATCTTCCTATCAATGAACATGTACTATCTACCTCTCCATTTATTTATTCTTCTTCGATTTCTTTTATCAGAGTTGTAGTTTCCCCCATACAGATCTTGTATATATATTGTTAGATTTATACGTTAGCATTTCACTTTTGGGGGGAGTGCTAATATAAATAGCATTATGCTTTTTTGTTTGTTTGTTTGTTTTTTTGAGACAGAGCCTCAAGCTATCCCCCTGCGTAGAGTGCTGTGGCATCAGAGCTCACAGCAACCTCCAACTCCTGGGCTCAAGCCAGTCTCCTGCCTCCGCCTCCCAAGTAGCTGGGACCACAGGTGCCCGCCACAACACCCAGCTATTTTTTCTTTTTTTTTTTTTTGGTTGCAGCCGTCATTGTTGTTTTGGTGGGCCGGGCTGGATTCGAACCCGTTACCTTAGGTGTATGTGGCTGGCACCTTAGCCACTTGAGCCACAGACGCTGAGCCAGCATTATGCTTTTAATTTCAAATTCCATTTGTTCATTTCTGGCATATAGGAAAGCAGTTGACTTTTATACATTAACCCTGCTTCTGCAACTTTGTTATAATTGTTTGTCCATTCTTTTCTTTTTTTTTTTTTTTGGCTGGGGCCAGGTTTGAACCCCCCACCTCCCATATATGGGGCTGGTGCCCTACTCCTTGAGCCACAGGCATTGTCCAATTGTTCATCCATTCTAAGTGTTTTTTGTTAATTTTTTTGGATTTTCTACATAGACAATCATGGCATCTATGAATAAAGAGTTTTATTTCTTCTTCCTAATCTGGGTACCTTTTACTTTATTTCATTTCATTTTTATCTTACTGCATTAGCTAGGACTTTCGGTACAATATTGACTAGAAGCGGTAAGAAGAGCTTTCTTTGCCTTACCACATATTTCTGATCTTAATGGGAAAGTTCTAGTTTCTCATAATTAGGTCTAATGTTACCTGTAGGTTTTTTGTAGATCTTCCTTATCAAGTTGAGGAAGTTCCTCTCTATTCCTAATTTGCATTTTCTTCTTTTTTAAGGCTGAATTATATGTGGTATGGTATGTACCATGTTTTGTTTACCTATTCATCCATCAATGGACACTCAGGTTGCATCTACCTTTGGCTGTTGTGAATATAGTATACAAATTTCTTTTTGTTGTTGTTGTTTTGTTGTTTGTTTGTTTGTTTGTTTTTGTAGAGACAGAGTCTCACTTTTTCACCCTTGGTAGAGTGCAGTGGAGTCACTCCATCAACCTCCAACTCCTGGGCTTAAGCGATTCTTCTGCCTCAGCCTCCCAAGTAGCTGGGACTACAGGCGCCCGCCACAACGCCTGGCTATTTTTTATTGCAGTTTGGCCGGGGCTGGGTTTGAACCTGCCACCCTCGGTATATGGGGCTGGCGCCTTACTCACTGAGCCACAGGCGCCTCCCGTTGTTGTTGTTGAGACAAGAGTCCCACCCTATGCCCCTGAGCAGAGTTCAGTGGCATCATAGCTCACTACAACCTCAGATTCGGGCTGTGGGCATCCTGCTGCCTCAGCCTCTGGAAGCCTCTGGGATTATAGGTGCTCGCCACGGCGCGTAGCTGGATTTTTCCATTTTTTTCATGAGTTGTGGTCTCACTCTCGCTCAGGGGAGTCTCGAACTCCTGAGCTCAAGCAATTCTCCCTCCTCAGCCTCCCACAGTGCTGGGATTACAGGCGTGAGCCACTGTGCCTGGATGTATACAAATTTTTTATTGGGAATCTGCTTTCAGTTTCTTCTGGGTATATATCTAGAAGTAGAATTGTTACATCACATGGAAGTTTTACTTTTAATTTTTGTTTGTTTGCTTTTTTGAGGTAGGGTCTCCGTTGTCTGGGCTAGAGCACAGCAGTGTCATAGCCTACGAGGCTTAATCGGTCTCCTGCCTCAGGCTCCTAAGTAGCTGAGACTACAGGCATGGGACACCATGGTTGGTTAAATTTTTTGTAGAGATGGAGAGCAGGTCTTACTATGTTGCTCAAGCTGATCTTTTTTTTTTTTTTTCTTTTTGAGACAGAGTTTCACTTTGTTGCCCTCAGTAGAGTGCCATGGTGGCACAGCTCATAGCAACCTCTAACTCTTGGGCTTAAGTGATTCTCTTGCCTCACCCTCCCAAGTAGCTGGGACTACAGGCGCCTGCCACAACAGCTGGCTATTTTTAGAGACGGTGTCTTGCTCTCTTGCTCTGACTCAGGCTGGTCTTGAACTCCTGAGCTCAAGTGATCTCAGCCTTCTGCTTAAGCTGCTCTTGAACTTCCCAGCCTTAAAGTGATCCTCCTGACTTAGCCTCCCAGAATGTCAGGATTACAGGCATGAGCCACCATACCTGGCCTATTCTTAATTTTTTGAGGAACTAATATGCAAAATCTTATATATAAGGAGGTATACTACATTGATGTTTATAGTAGCAATAATTTGGAAGCAGCTTTGCTTCTTCAGCAGGTGATTGGTTATATAAATTATAACACATTCATAAAATGAACATTATGCAGCTATTTAGAAAGCATGTAATAGATCCATATGTTGTTTTGGGGTTTTTATTTGTTTTTTGAGACAGACTCTCATTATGTTGCCCTTGTTAGAGTGCTATGGCGTCATAGCTCACAGCAACTTCAACCTCTTGGGCTTAAGTGATTCTTTTGACTCAGCCTCCCAAGTAGCTGGAACCACAGGTATCCACCATAACACTTGGCCATTTTTTTTTGCTGCAGTTGTTATTGGTTAACTGGCCCAGGCCTAGTTTGAACCTGCCAGCCTCGGTGCATGTGGCCGGTGCCTTAACCACTGTGCTACAGGTCCTGAGCCAGAACCATATGTTTTGACATGTCAGAATGTTCAGGTGTATTATAATACAAAAAAGGCAAATGGGTGAGCATAGTGGCTCACACCTGGAGTCCTAGAGCTTTGCAAGACAGAGGTGGAAGGATCATTTGCCTAGGAGTTCAAGACCCACTTCGGGAGACAGAAGTGGGAGGATTATTTGCCCAGGAGTTCAAGACCAGCGTGGGCAACATAGTCAGATGCCCATCTCTACAAAAAATAGGGGTGGCACCTGTGCCTCAGTGGATAAGCCTCCGGCCCCATATACCAAGGGTGGCCGATTCAAACCCGGCCCCAGCCAAACTACAACAAAAAATAGCTGGGTGTTGTGGTGGGCACCAGTAGTCCCAGCTACTCAGGAGGCTGAAGCAAGAGAATTGCCTAAGCCCAGGAGTTGGAGGTTGCTATAAGCTTTGACACCACGGCGCTCTACCAAGGGTGATAAAGTGAGACTCTGTCTCAAAAAAAAAAAAAAAAAAATAGAAAATTTAGCCAACCATGGTAGCCCATACCTGTAGTCCCAGCTACTTAGGAGCCTGAGGTAGGAGGATTGATTGAGCCTAGAAGTTGCAGTAAATTGTGATGACACCACTGTACTCTAGTCCAGACAACAGAGTGAGACCATACCTCAAAAAACAAACAAAAAATTAAAAATAAAACTACCATGTAATGTAGCAGATCTTTAATACAAAAAAATAAATCAGCCAAGCATGGTGGTGTGTGCCTGTAGTACAAGCAACTCAGGAAGCTGAGGTAAGAGGATCCCTTGAGCCCAGGAGATCCCTTGATCCAGGAGATCATAGTGAGCTGTGATCATACCACTGCACCTTAGCCTAGGTGAAAGAGACAGACCCTATCTCCAAAGGAAAAAAAAAGACAAATAATACTTGTAATATGAACCTATTTTTATTTTAAATCTATATGTATGCATGTATATTCTGACCTTTTTTAAAAAAAGAATAATGAATGTCTGAGGTAGGAGCAATGGAGATTATTAAGTGCGATAGCAGAGTAAACTTTAAATGTCCTTTATAAATTACTGCATCATTTTGGGGTTTACATAAGCACAATTTTGTAAGCAGGAAGACCAACTTGAATAATTGTATTTTGGGGGAGGAAAGTTTAACTCTTACTTGTCTTTGAAGTACAAATAAAATATTAAGTATTTCATATATTTGCTAAGCGTTTTTATATCTACAGTGTCAAATGCTAGTCTGGGATATTTTACGTGTGTTTTTATTGTTATATTTGGGCATCTGTATTATCAAAGGTATTTATTTTATGAGCTGAGGTATAAAATTAGCACAGTGAATTTCCATCAAAATGGCTTCATATAAGGAACATATTCCACCATTTGAGTAGTGCTTCCCATTTCCTATGACTTAGTGTGAGGAGGCTTGTCATAGTTTCTCTGCTCTTGAAGAAGACACCTCTTAGTTTAAGTGTTGTGGCTCGGCGCCTATAGCTCAACCGGCTAAGGCGCCAGCCACGTACACCTAAGGTGGCGGGTTCGAATCCCCAGCCCGATCCGCCCAAACAACAATGACGGCTGCAACCAAAAAATGGCCGGGCGTTGTGGCGGGCGCCTGTGGTCCCAGCTACTTGGGAGGCGGAGGCAGGAGACTCGCTTGAGCCCAGGAGTTGGAGGTTGCTGTGAGCTGTAATGCCACGGCACTCTACCCAGGGGAATAGCTTGAGGCTCTGTCTCAAAAAAAAAAAAAAAAAAGTTTAAGTGTTGTATTATATTAGACACTGAATCCTGTTCTTTTCCTTTTTTGTCTGACAGTAGATCTTCATGGAGGAACACGGAGTGGCACAAACTGAACACATGGCTACCATAGAAGCCCATGCAGTGGCCCAACAAGTACAGCAGGTCCACGTGGCCACTTATACCGAGCACAGTATGCTGAGTGCTGATGAAGACTCACCGTCTTCCCCCGAGGACACCTCTTATGATGATTCAGATATCCTCAACTCCACAGCTGCTGATGAGGTCACAGCTCATCTGGCTGCTGCAGGTAATGTTATTTTGAATCAAAAGCCTTTTCTCTTTGTTCTGTGCATACCCAAAATAGCCTAATATTTAGGCACACTCACATTTATCACAGTATTTTTAAGCCTTACATTTACTACTTGACCCGACATTATACTGAGAGTTGAGTTCTTGAATCACTATTACGGCTTTTCATTTTGTTTTTTCATCCATTCTGATTATCTTTTGGCTTTAAACTGAAGCATTTATTCCATTTATATTAAATGAAATAACTACTGTATTTAGACTTAAGTTTACCATCTTTACTGCTGTTTTTTGTCCCACCTATTCTACATTTATTTTTCTCTTCCTTTGTATATTCTTTTTTTTTTTTTGGAGACAGAGCCTCAAGCTCTCCCCCTGGATAGAGTGCTGTAGCGCTGTAGCATCAGATCTCACAGCAACCTCCAACTCCTGGGCTCAAGCAAGTCTCCTGCCTCTACCTCCCAAGTAGCTGGGACCACAGGCGCCCGCCACAATGCCTGGCTATTTTTTTGGTTGCAGCCATCATTGTTGTTTGGCGGGCTGGGGCTGGATTCAGACCTGCCACCTTAGGTGTATGTGGCTGGTGCCTTAGCCACTTGAGCCACAGGTGCCGAGCCCCTTTGTATATTCGTTTGGAATGATTGAAAAGTTTTTATTTTTTTATTAGTTTAGAAGTGATACATTTTTATTTTTAGTGATATCCCTAGAAATTATAACATGTACCCTTTACTTATCAAAGTCTTGTTGTTACTTTTATCCATTATAGAGATAATGCAAATTTCTTAGAACACTTGGTTTTTATTCCCATACTCTGACTGGTATGCTCTGTGGCTCTCTGTATTCATTCTATGTATACAGTTGATTTTCTGTATCTGCAAGTTCTGCACCTGCAGATTCAACCAACCATGGATCAAAAATATTTGGGAAAAAAACAACAAAAATAACAATGTAACAATTTAAAACATATTTTTAAAAATCCCAATACAGTATTATTGTATTGGGGATTACATTTTAATACCTAATACAATTGGGTATTAATTAGGTATTGGGTATTAAAATGTAATCTAGAGATAATTTAAAGTATATAGGAAGATGTTTATGGCTTATGTGCAAATATTATGCCATTTTACATAAGAGACTTAAACATCTGGAGATTTTGGTATCCTAAGTGGGGGATGTCCTGGAACCAATCTTCTAGATAAAAGGGCTTAGTATTTTCTTTAGGATAGGTATGCTGGGTGGTGCCTGTGGCTCAAAGGAGTAGGGCACCAGCTCCATATGCCAGAGGTGGCAAGTTTAAACCCAGCCCCAGCCAAAAACTGCAAAAAAAAAAAAAAAGGTAGGTATGCTAGTGTTTCTGTTTAACCTTCAGCCTTGAAAGATATTTTCATAGTGTATGGAATTCTAGATTGGTGGTTATTTTCTGTCATCGTATTAAAGATGCTGTTCTAAGACCAGGCGCAGGGGCCCATACCATAATCCTAGCACTCTGGGAGGCTGAGACGGGTGGATTGCTTGAGCTCAGGAGTTCAAGATAGCTGAGTATTACAGCAGGTGTCAGTAGTCCCAGCTACTCAGGAGCTGGAGACAAGAGGATTGTGTAAGCCCAAGAGTTTGAGGTTGCTATGAGCTGTGACCATGGCACTCTATTCAGGGTGACAAAGTGAGACTCTGTCTCAAAACAAAGAAAAAAAAAGATTTTTTCTGTCTTTAGTTTTTGTGATATAGCTGGCTCTGGTTTCTTTTCATTTATCCATTGAAGATTCTTTGTACATTTTGAAATCTTTGGATTGATGTCTTTCATCAACTCTGGCAAATCTGCCACTAGATTTTGCTGCATATTCCACTTATGCTCTGTTCTATCACTTTTCATTCTGTGACTCCAATTAAATACAGTTGATTAGGGGTGCCTGTAGCTCAGTGGTTAGGATGTTGGCCACATGCTCCAGGGCTGGTGGATTCAAACCCGGCCCAGGCCAGCTAAACACACCAAAAAAATAGCTGGCGTTGTGGTAGGTGCCTGTAGCCCTAGCTACTAGGGAGGCTGAGGCAAGAGAATCTCTTGAGCCCAAGAGTTTTGGTTGCTGGGAGCTATGATAGTCACAGCACTACCGAGGGTGACAAAGCGAGACTCTATCTCAATTAAATAAATAAATACAGATTTGTCTTCTTCATCAAATCCTTTATCTCTTAACCTCTGATCCTTTTATCTCTTTATGCTTCATTTTATTTGGTTTCTTCTATTTTTCAACTTACTAATTTTCCTCTTTAGCAGTGTCTAAGGTACTTTTAGATATGTTCATTGCTTTACTCATTTTGGAAATTGTTAATAGTTTTGGTTAGTGGGTCTCCCCACCCCTAGTTTTTTAGAATCTGTAGTATGTTTTCTTCCCTCCCAGATTTGTACTATAACATTTTCTAAACATGTTATTATAATCTGTCTGTTAATTCTCTCTAACGTTCTTGTGGGTCTGTTTCTATTAAATGTTGTTACTACCATTTCTTCTTTTTTTTTTTTTTTTGAGAGACAGAGTCTCACTTTCTTGCCCTCAGGAGAGTGCCGTGGTGACACACAGCTCACAGCAACCTCCAGCTCCTGGGCCACGATTCTCTTGCCTCAGCCTCTCCAGTAGCTGGGACTACAGGTGCCCGCCACAACGCCCAGCTATTTTTTATGTTGTTGTTGTTGCAGTTTGGCCAGGGCCAGGTTTGAACCCGCCACCCTTGGTATATGGGACCAGCGCCCTACTCACTGAGCCACAGGCGCCTCCCGTTAGTACCACTTCTTATTCATGTTGGTTGTTCTCTTTATGTACTAGTTATATTTCAATGAATGCAGGGTGGTGTGTTTAGCAAATTATTTTTAGAAATAGTTTGAGGTCTAGCATAATATTATCTTCCTTTAGAGAGGACTTTTGTTTGCTTCTGTCTAGTGCCTGAGGGCACTAGCAATTCTGGATCATGTTAATCCAGTTTAAGGTTTTGAGATTTTCAGGGCAACTAAGTGACTTAAAGTTTGCTATATTTTGTATCATTCTTGTTGCTATTTACATCGTATATTTAGTACTATGGTGAGAAGACTACTTGTAAAGCATGCATGGATGGGTGTATTATTGTATAAGGAAGATTTTTTTAGAAGATGTTTGGGGAAAAATTGGACAAGAAATCAATTATCAGAAGTGGCCAAAATACTAGCTTTTGAATATATGCTGTATTTATGGGGAAGAAGATAGCTGTAATGGTGAATAAACTCATTACTGTTAGTTATTGTCCACTGTGTATTTCTGGAGTGGTGAATTTAAAAATAAGGCTTAGCGGCAAAACATATGAAATGATTGTAAATTATATTTTGTGAAATGCTTATACTTCCCAGAAGAGGGCATCCTAACATAATGAATACAGGTCAACCTCTTTCCTATGAAGGAAGATGCTTTTGAGACAAGGCTTTGGTATATTACTGTACTGCCTTGTCATAGTGTTAAGATCAGGAAAGGACTTTAACCTAACTCCTTCATGTGGCAGATGTAGAAACTGAAGCCCAGCTGGTAGAAGTGATTTACCATTTGATCATTCAGTAATTCTTGAGGAATTATAAGTATACTACCATGTATATTACTATACATAGAAATTATGAAGATGGACAGAAACTTGCTTCTGAAGAGCTTATACTCACTGGTGGGAGAGGAGTACATATAGTAAAGTACAGTGATTTTAGGAAGCATTGAATACTTTCAAAAAAACAACGAAGTAGGATAATGGAAAGGGAAGGGTAGCAGGTTGCTGCTTTGGACTTAGTGGTTTGGGAAGGCTTCTTCTCTGATGAGGCAAGTTGTGACTGACAGGCAGGTAGGTGTCAGCAAAAGGAAGTAAGTTTTAGACTTGGAAAATATCAAGTGCAAGGATTTGCAGATGAGAGATGGGAAGGAAGCCAATATGGCTGGAGATTTGTGAGCCAGGAGAGAAAATGATACAGGAGGCAGGTGTGAGTCAGACCACACAGGGCATAGGGGCTGTGTATGGTAAAGAATTTTAGAGAAGCAGCAGAGTGCAGTGGTTAACTCCCATACTTTGGAGCTGGGATTCCTGGGTTTGGATCCTGACTCTGCTTACTAGGCAAAGGATTTTTCTGAGAAGTGACCTGTAGCATTCATCACATCTGAAAGGTAGCCCAGAAAAGATAAATAAGTATACCACGTTGCCCCTCAAAAAGACTTCTGATTCTCTGCAACACAGACAGCTTCTGATCAGTGTTGATTTCCAAGGGAAAAAAGTTTATTTATCCATCCATCCTAAATACTAGACAACCAGGGAAGAAAGTTTGAAAGTAGCTGGGTGCGGTGGCTCACACTTATGATCCTAGCACTCTGGGAGGTCCAGGTGGGTGGATTGCTTGAGCTTTCTAGCTCGAGACCAGCCTGAGCAAAAAAAAAAGGAAGACTCTGTCTATACTGAAAACAGAAAAACTGAGGCAAGAGGATCACTTGATCCAAGAGTTGGAGGTTGCTGTAAGCTACAGTGCCACAGTACTCTACCCAGGGTGACAGCTTAAGACTCTGTCTCAAAAAAAAAAAAAAGAAAAAGGTTTAAAAGTAGTACAACTAGGGGCTGGGCGTGGTGGTTCACGCCTGTAATCCTAGCACTCTGGGAGGCCAAGGAGGGTGGATTACCTCAGTTTGTGGGTTTGAAACCAACCTGAGCAAGAGTGAGACCTTGTCTCTAAAAAATAGCTGGGCGTTGTGGCATGCGCCTGTAGTCCCAGCTACTCAGGCTTAGGCAAGAAAATCGCTTGAGCCTAAGAGTTTGAGGTTGCTGTGAGCTGTGACATCATGGCACTCTATTCAGGGTGGCAAAGTGAGACTTGGTCTCAGGAAAAAAAAGTAGTACAACTAAACAAAGTCTATAGGGAATAAAAACAAAAATATCTCAAGTTAGTTGACCTTTTTGGTATTTATCACCAATATGAACTTTAGGAACTTTATTTTAAGCAAAATTGAATTTATT